TGCTGAACATGCTGAACACTGGAATTTGACACAACACTGTAAAATGATTATGAATCAATAAAAAATGTAAAAAAACAAACAAACAAAAAAAACAAAGCAACCCAAGCATATATGACTTTTAAGTTTCAACCTTTGCCCCCAGATAGGATTAAAAGTCATGATATAAATAAAGTCCTTGAAAATATGTAAAATGTAAATATTTTTCCTTGAACAAAATCAAAATATCATGGGACATGTTTTAAAAATATTTAAATAAAATATATTTTCTAAGTTAACGCTCAGAAATGCACTAAGGACCATGCTGTTTTCAGTGTTACGCACATACAAAAAGGGATATTAGAATTCTGAGTACATATGTGAGATGAGAGTCTCCTTTCCCTAAATGACTCATGTCTCCATTCAGAGCTGAAAGTGACTGGACATCCCCAGGATCAGAGCAAACAGATGCTCTACCCATTGGCTCCCTGAGGGCTAATTCTTCTGCTAAGCATGGAGAAGTGTGACCACTTGTGAGTTCCATTTAAACTCCCCCTAAATACTTCCTCGCTGATTTCTAATAATTTACTAAGTTTTGAAGTTTTTTCTTTAAGGATAGTACATGCTCTAAGTTTCAACATAGCTTTTCATTTCTAAATTTAAAAACTTAAGAGTCAAGTAGCTAATAGTTTTTGAGTAAGTGTAGAGATACAATAAAATTTGAAGAGATACAAAAGTGTAAAAGCAGACTTACCTTAGGGTCCACGTTGAGAATTTTTCTGTCTTTTTTGTATTTAAAAAGTAAGCCTTCTGGATTATCAGCAATCACTTGGTAATTGGGAGTTGAATTACAAACAGCAATATGACTGTCCCAGTTGTAAAAGCTATAAAAATAACCATTCATTAGGAATTAATATGTATAATACATTGAATTGACAATATATTTTAAAAATATTTGAGGCAGTTCAGTTTCAAGATAAATGGACAGAAGAATTACAGTCTGTACAACCATGTAGAACACATGTGTGATTAAAAGTCTTGCAGAAAAGATTAGACTGTGAGTTATTCTCAAAACATTTAGATACATATTTACGACTGTTTTGCATGATTTCCTGGTTTGGACACTCCAGGACCCAGGGCCTATTTCAATATTACATTCCCAGGAAGTCAAGAAGAAAACTGATGCAATTTAAGGCTATTTCTTCTAGCACAGACCCTTCAGGGTATTGACTATTCAGGGTATTAAGAAGCTGTTTACTGGAAGGAAAGGCAGGTTAAGCCACTTCTTTTCATTCAAAACAAATTAATTCATTTCTTTAAGGATCTATTTTTCAATAACATGTTTCCCAGGCAGTAAGAAAACTACTTGTGTTTAAGAGGTTACCATAGGCCAGGCATGATGTGATGTATTCTATCACAGCACCCATATGAAACTGCTCTCATTTCAAAGGCAAGGCAAGAAGACCGGGGAGGTCAACCAGCAGAGTTAACACCCTACACCTAATACATTATAGGGCTAATATTTCAACCCAGATCTGTGCGTTTCAAAGCATACACATGTGCTTTCCACTGTTCAGCACTGCTTGCATTTGATCCTTTTTCTGGGATGATCTTCTATGGAAAAATTCTATTTTTTTTTCCAGATCTTATTTTATAACTACTTGTCAAGAACAAATATAATGCTGTTATGTGAGTTGAAAATATCCTCCATATACTTATTTTTACATATATTATTGCCATAAATGCATTTCTAGTGTTATATTTTCTTTTAAAATGACAGCCACAGGAAGTGAGGCCAAGATGGCAGATTAGAAGGAGCTTGAGCTCATCTCCCCTTACGAGCACTCCAAAATCACAACTAACTGCTGAACAACCATTGATAAAAAAGACTGGAGCCTACCAAAAATGACCCCCTACAACTAAAAACAAAGAAGGAATTGTAATGTGATGGTAGGAAGGGTGCACTTGTGATATATCAAATCCCATATCCCCTGGTAAGCAACTCACAAACTGGAGAATAATTATATTGCAGAGGTTATTCCATAGGAGTAAGAGTTCTGAGCCCACATCAGGCTCACCAGTCTGGAGGTCCAGCATTGGGAAGAGGAGCCCCAAGAGCATTTGGATTTGAAGGCCAGTGGGGGTTAATTGCAGGAGCTTCACAGGACTGGGAGAAATAGACTTCACTCTTAAAGGACACACACCAAAATTTCATGCACACCGAGACCAAAGGCAAAAGCAGTAACTTCATAGAGCCTGGGTCAGACCTACTTGCTGGTTTTGGAGCATTTCCTGGGGAGGTAGGGGGCATCTGTGGCTCTCCCTGGGGACATAAAAACTGGTGGTGGTCATATCAGGGAGTATTCATCTGCATGAACAAACAACTCAATTAAAAAATGGGCAGAAGACCTAAACAGACATTTCTCCAAAGAAGTCATACAGATGGCCAACAGGCACATGAAAAGATGCTCAACATTGCTAATTATTAGAGAAATGCAAATCAAAACAACAATGAGGTGTCACCACACAGTGGTCAGAATAGCCATCATCAAAAGGTCTACAAATAATAAATGCTGGAGAGGGTTTGGAGAAAAAGGAACCCTCCTACACTGTTGGTGGGAATGTAAATTGGTGCAGCCCCTATGGAAAACAGTATGGATGTTTTTTAAAAAAGTAAAAATAGATTTATCATATGATCCAGCAGTCCCACTCCTGGGCATATCTCCAGAGAAAAGTATAATTCAAAAAGACACAAGCACCCCAATGCTCATAGCAGCACAATAGACAAAACATGGAAGCAACCTCTATGTCCATCAACAGATGAATGAATAAGGGGAATGTTGTATACACACACACACGGGAATATTACTCAGCCATAAAAATGTAATAGTGCCATTTTCAGCAACATAGATGGACCTAGGAATTATCATACTAAATGAAATAAGTCATACAGAGAAATACAAATATCGTATGATATTACTTACATTGGAATCAAAAAATGATACAAGTGAATTTATTTATAAACCAGAAATAGACTCACAGACATAGAAAAGAAACCTGTAGTTACCAAAGGGGAATGACAGGGGAGGGATAAATTAGGAGTTTGGGATTAACAAATGTGCACTACTATATATAAAGTAGATAACCAACAGGGACCTACTGTATAGCACAGGGAACTATACTCAATATCTTGTAATAACTTATAATGGAAAATAATATGAAAAATAATATATATATATGTACAACTGAATCACTTTGCTATACACCTGAAACTAACACAGCATTGTAAATCAACTATAATTCAATTAACAATTGACAGCCACAGAGATAATACATGTATAGCTCACAGCCTAGTATACCTCTCCATATTTGCAATATTCATTTTCAATCATTTCCCTTTATCGTATTTCTGGGTTGTTTTGCCTTCTGTTACCCCCTTCTTCATTTTGAAAGAGTAGATTTCATTGATTAAACTCACTCTGAATTATATTGTTTTCTGAGGCATCAATTTTTTGCTATTACCTGAAATTGTAATGTGTAAATCTTCAAAGTTTTCAATACTCAAAAAAAAAATGATTATATATTTATATCTTCAGGGGTGCATGTTAGTGAGAACTATTCTCTCTCCTCTCCTCTCACTCCTCTATGGCCAAGACCTGGGAGTACCTGTCCTTTTTGAAGCACAGAGTTAGGAAAAGTGGGCTTTTCCTAAACAGGTATCTCTGTCTGTTTAGTCAACCCTCCTCAAGAGAGCAGGAATGACTCTCTGATTTGAGAATTGAGGAAAAAAGCCGAACATCCATGGATTTCTAGGCCGTCACTTTAGCAAGCTTTCATAAGTGAAGTTTATCATGGCAGGCTCAATTCCCAGTAGGGTGATGGTAGGAGAGCAGCCTGTAGCACTGGTGATAAATTCAATTCAGTGGTAAAGGGATTACTAGCCAATTTGAATATGCACTCAAGCTGGGTTCCCCAATTCAGATTAACTCGTAATAAAGAAGATAAATTGACCTTCATTCTCCTGGCTGTTCAGTTAGGAAACTGACAAACTGCGATAGAGGACATGGATGTGATTCTTAACTATACATATATCTGAGATAAATAGATATAGATAATCCCAGTAAAATGCTTGAGTCACAGTTATGCTCAGAGTGGTATGGTTTATATCTCATTCCTATCTTGTTGCTCAGACCTCAACTTAATAGCGTTATTGAAGTCCAGGCAGATTTTATATATATATAAAATGCAAAAAAAAGTTAATTTGTATAGCATGTGGTACTTTTGATAAAGTGATTTTGATTGTTTGTCAATACTTTTGTTTTCCAAGGCAGGGAAGGGAGGGAAGGGACCAGGTTTCATTTCACATGTCAATTCTAACAGCTAATAATTATTAGTATTTAATAAAGATAGTATTTAAAGAAGTATTAAAGAAGTATTTAATAAAGATAACCAACATTCAGTAAGCATGTGTTGGGTACTATTCTGAGACAAATGAATCTCTTACCTCATTTAATCTTATTGTCAACCCTATGAAGTGGGTATAAAACTATCCCCCTTTATACATGCAGAGCCCAGGTGATCTTGAAGTGCATACTTTTGAACGAAAATGAGACACTGGATTTGAGAACACATGGAAAAGTGGATTTAATGGTTATGAGAAACACAGGGACGAGGTAAGGATCTACGATTACTCTCAGATTTCTGATTTGGATACCTAAGTGGATGGAATTATTTACCAGGAAATAAAATACAAGGAAAAGAACAGATTGCAGGAGGTGTGTGTTGAGGGGAACGGGCAGTTTAGTTCTAGATATGCTGAATTTGAAATCCTAATGAAACATCCAAGAAAATGAAAGCAAGCATCTTGGTTTGTGTTGTGTACTGCCCTATTACAATTCCTTTTCTCAGCCCATGCCTGACACATGGTAGATTTTGAACGCATATTAATGGAATAAGTAGATAATGAGTGTATTCCTGAAATTTAGAAAGTTTTCTTATATGGAGTCATATATCTTGAAGTACCAGCGGTATTTAAATTTAAAGAGGTGGTTGAGATGGACAAAGGAGAAGATGGAAATAAGGGTGAAATCTGGGAATATCAATTCACAAGGAAGAAAGAGGAATCAGCAAAGGAGGCTAAAAACAGTGATTTAAAGCATCACCAGGAGAGGATTTTTTTTTTGAAAAAAACTGCAGAGAAGAATATATCAACGAATAATATTTTAAGAAACAGCAGTGCTAAATGCCTCATAAAGTAGATAACGTGTGAAAAGAGTCCATCAAAACGTACACTTGGAAAGAGATTACAGGAAAAGCAGTTGCAGTAAAATGGTGGGAGCAACACTCAGGTTAGAGAAAATTTAAGGGAAGATGAGAAAAGATTATGGAATAAAAATAATTCTTTTATGAATTTGATTATGAAGGAAACAAGAAAACTAGGACAGCACCAAGAAGGATATAAAAAATTAAGGGTCAATTTTTAAAAAGATGAAATATTTTGAGTATAGTTCCATGATATGAAGAGGGAAAAGCAGAGAAAAAAGACTCTAAAGAGGGAGGTGCTGTCAAAAGGCTTTGTCATGAAAAATTATATATGAGAAGATCTATCTAATATGCAACAGCCGTATGATATTCCTTTATCTATGCAGGTTAATTTGATTTTAGTAAGAGCTCTGCATATTACTATTCCTATTATATAGATGAGATAACTGGAGTTAGAGAAGATAATTAAAATTTTTAAGTTTACCTAACTAGTAAATACTAGAATACAGTCTCGAGCCCAGTCTATATAGCATCTAAAACAAGTACTCTTTCTTAAAATTTTTACTTTATTGTGGTAAGAACACTTAACAGGAGAACTGCCCTCTTAACACATTTTTAAGTG